TGCAGGGGTTTGAGGTTTGATCCCTGGTCAGGGAAGTAGATCCTATGTGCTTCAACTAAGACATGGTGCATTGAAATTAATTAATTAATTAAAAAACCCAAGATATCAAGTATAGTTCTCTGTGCTTTACAGTAGGTGCTTGTTATTTCTCTGTTTTGTATATAGTAGTATGTACCTATTAATCCCAAACTCCTGATTTATCCCTGTCCCCCCTGTGGTAACTGTAAGTTTGTTTTCTTGACTATTTTTTAAGCACTTACTATGCATCATACCTTGTTCTCGGCAGATATGTAGGCAACTAAAGTAGGTAAGATCTGCCTTCAGAGAACTTACCTTCTGGTGGATGGGCAGACAAAAAGTGAGCAAACATAGCACACCGGGCAGGGAGCAGGAACACAAACAAAATACACAGAACAGCATGGCTGGGTGTTCTACTGGCTTCCCCCTCACCCTGCTCCAGAACCTGACCTGTTCTCCCCCTCCATCACCACCACCCCATCTAAGCCGCCATGGCCTCTCACTTTACTGTAACTCCTTCCTCTCCAGCCCCTGGACTCCCATTTGTGCATCCCCAGTCCTTTCTCACGTCCACGTAGATCAGATCATCTCTCATCTGCTCTCAACCCTCCCACAGCTCCCATCTCACTCAGGGTAGAAGCCAAGTCCTTCCAAGGGCTCATGAGTCTGATCCTGGGTACCTCTCTGATCTCATCTCCCTGCCACTGGTCCCTGGATCACTGGGCTCCAGCCACACAAACCTCCTTATTGCTCCTCACGTGCTCTGGGACAGCTGCTGCCTCAGGACCTTTGCACATGCTATTTCCTCTTCTCCTAAGGCTCTTCCTCCCTGTCACCATGAAGCGCTCTCGCACACCTCCTTCAGGTCTCTTTTTCTTTTTTCTTCCTTAAATTAACTAATTTATTTGTTTGGCTGTGTTGGGTCTTAGTTATGGCACATGGGATCTTCATTGCATCATGTGGGACCTTTCATTGCAGTGCACAGGCTTAGTTGCTCCAAGACATGTGGATCTTACTTCTGGGATCAAACCCAAGTCCCCTGTATTACAAGCAGGATTCTTAACCACTGGATGGCCAGGGAAGTTGCTCTTTCAGGTCCTTCTTCAAGTGTTCCCTTCCCAGTGACATTATTTCTAGCGCCCCTAATAAAAACTGCAATCCCACGTCCCTGCATTTCTTATCCCACCTTGCTTTCTTCCCCCCACCGCACAGTATGTGACACCATCCACCACACTATATATTCGTCTTATCCACTGTTATCACCAGACCCTTGTCCTACCAGCACCCTGGGTTAGGCTCCAGGAGGCAAAGCTTTTGTATTTTCTTCCTAGTACTTACACAATGCTGGGCATGTGCTTGAGGAAACATTTCTTGAATGAAGGAATGAATGAATAAAAAAATGATTACTTCTGAAGGGAAAGACCTCTCTGATAAGAACTGGAGGATGAAGGGATGGTCCTGTGATGGGAGGAAACCTGGTCCGAGCAAAGGAACAGCGAGTGTGAAGGCCCTCAGGGCAGAATCAGACTTGTGAGTTAGAGCGAAAGAAACCAGGCCAGGGGCTGGGTGCCGTGGGCAGGGGCGATGCGGAGGGGTCCAGCCTGAGAGGCTGCCCGGGACACAAAGCGGAGCCCCCCCAGCTAAGGGTAAGGAATTCAGATCTGATTCTGTACTTTTTAAAAACACCAAGCCCGCTCCATATCATTTTTAAGTTTTAAGTCATATCAACCTCACATCGACCATGAGCTTGGTGGACTAAATATTCTACTTAACAGAAGAGGCACATGAGCCCCCGAGAGACTAGGCCGCTGGACTAGGGACTTTACAAAGGTGGGGGTTAAAGTAGGAAATACAATGGGAGCCTTAGGGGGTTTCTTGGGTTCGAGTCCCCCCCCCCCCCGGACCTCCCGGAGTGTAGGCCTTGTGGCCCATGCCTCCTGGGGTCCTCCTTGGGGCTGGACCCTTGCAGTCTTGCTGTAACAGAAGGGGCGGGCCCAGGAAGGGGGAGACCAGAGGTCAGGCAGGAGGAGTAGCTGAGTCTGACACTTGAGGCCACAGCTAGAGTGGAATGTCCCCTGCTGAGTCCCGGAGCTCACTGCCCACACCAATAATCAAGAGAAAGAAACATGTGCATGTTGTCTGTGTGCGTGTGTGTGTATGTGTGCGTGTGTAACCTGACCCTGCTGGCCCTGCCTGGTCTGAATTTGGAAGCAACCTCTCTCTGCCCCTTTGCTCACCCCCAAAGTCTTTCCCTTGGCCCCAGCTGACCCCCCGACATTGGAAAGGGTGCAGACAGCTCCAAAATGGAGAGAGATGAGGTGTTTGTGGGTACCACCACTGGGGGAGGGTATGAACATCTGGGGTCTGAAGATCCTTAAGATCTTGAGTTTAGAAGCAGAGAATCTGGAGCCAGGGGACTGGGTTTAATTCCTGGCCCTGCCAAGAGCTGTGTGACTTTAAGCCAGTTACTCAACTCCCCAGGCCTCAAGTTCCACATCTGTAAAATGGGCTCACAACCCAATAGAGGTGTAATAATTACATGAGAAACAGTAATTAGGAAAACGGACTTTCGAGTCAGACCTGTTGTTATTTAGTCTCGAAGTTGCATCCAACTCTTCTGCAACCTCATGGACTGTAGCCCGCGAGGCATGGGGTTTTCCAGGCAAGAATACTGCAGTGCATGGCCACTTCCTCCTCCAGGGGATCCTCCTGACCCAGGGATTGAACCTGTGTCTCCTGCACTGGCAGGCATATTCTTTACCACTGTGCCACCCGGGATGCCCCGGAGTCTGATTCCTTAGGTTCAGATTTGGCAATCACTAAACTGTTGTCTCAGTCAAGCCACTTAACTTGTGTCTCACGTGTAAAACAAGTGTCCACTTCTTAGAGTTGCAGACACTAAAGTGTTAATACATGTTAATGACTGACACATAGCAGGTGCCAAGGGTTTGCTTTGACAGTGATGGAGGAGAAGGAGGATTCATCTAGATTTCTATTAACTCTGAACAGGACCTGAGACAGAATAGATGCTCACAAAAATGAAGGGCAAGAGGGGGTGGCAGTCACTCACGTTCGCCACAGCTGCCCCTCAGTCCCCAGTGGTGGCAGCCAGGTTCCCAGGTGGGGACACAGGCCCAACACTTCTAGAGCACTCAGTGTCTCCAGAGAAATTAGAAATCCAGATTTTTATGTGCACTCTCTCAATTTTTACAAGTTATTTAAACCACAGTATAAATCAAACAAAGACGCACCTGAAGGCCAGGCTTGGCTGTGAGCTGCCAAGTTTGTAACCATGGATTTGAGTCCACTGTGACTATTTGTCTTTTTCTTTTCTGGCCATGTTGTGTGGCATGTGGGATGTGATAGTTCCCTGACCAGGGATCAAACTCGAGTCCTCTGCATTGGAAGTGCAGAGTCTTAACCCACTGGACTTCCAGGGAAGTCCCCATTGCGGCTATTTAATTCAATGGATGTAAGTTTATTTATTATGCTTCCAAGCTGGTGGCTCAGTAAAGAACCTGCCTGCAATACATGAGACCGAGGTTTGATCCCTGGGTCAGCAAGATGCCCTGGAGAAGGGCATGGCTACCCACTCTAGTAATCATGCCTGGAGAAGCCCATGGACAGAGGAGCCCGGAGGGCTAAAGTCTACGGGCTCGCAAAGAGTCAGACATGACTGAAGGACTGATACTTCACATAACATCACCTCATTTGACCCTTGCAGTAAGCACCCTACAAAGGGGTCATGTTTCCCAGCTCCCCATTCGACAGGTGAGAAAGTTGAGGCTCAGAAAGGATGAACAATTTGCTCAAGGTCACTTGGCTGGGAGTCAGTCTCGGATCCTCCTCCCTCAGCAGTCTATGCCCTTTTCTGTTGCTACTGGCTCTGAAATGAAGAGTCTTTAGTTGACTGGTGCCTTCAGGCTGAAGGAAAAGGAAGACTGTCTTTGAACAGGGCTCTGGAAATTATCTCAAACTCTCAAAGAGCTCAGGGTGGCTTATCCAGATGCTACACAGGCCTGGGAGGAGCGAGAGTGTGTTGGTCTACCATGCAGCTTTGGCACAGGAGCCCAGACCCTCTTGATGGTACTCTCAGCAAGGCTGTTTCAGCTTCACGACCAGCATGTAAGACATTACTGACTGCTCTCTTGGTGACAGCAGTAATTACTCCCCAAAGCCTGGATTTGCTTAAAAGCAAATTCCTTCTGATGTTATGTTCAACTAGAACCATGTCTCTTTGGTTTTCCATGACAATTACATAGCACTGTGTCCCCACGAACTGGCCTCAAACACAGACAACGAAGGAGAGACAGCCAGGGGTCTTGGCATACCAGCAGCAAATCTCAAAGCTGCTCAAACAAAGGGTTAAGCCCAATGGTTAAACATAACAGCTTAATGCCTTTTGCTAAGTAACTCTGAGCTGTACCAGGAAGGCTGACAGATCCCAAACAGTGCAAACAATAGCTGGAATTGTTCTAGTGAAAACTAGTCCGACCGCATCATTTGCCAATAATTTTTTAAACAGCTTAACTCTCCTCTGCTCCCTTGACTCCAACCCGACCTGAAAGCAAAAGGCAGATGAGCTGTTGTCCCAACGCCAGCCCCCGGTAAACAGGACGGCTGCTTGGATGGGGCGATGGCAGGAGAGGACTCAGAGGTCCAGCCCCAGAACCTGCGGGACACGCCCGGGGCCGGGCCTGGAACCTGAAACTGACAAGTGCCTGTGCAGGTGTCAGCATTTCTTGGAACTGGAGACCAAGACAGCAAGTTCAGAACACGAACCAGCACACTTTTACCTTTAATGACTAGACAAAATTGTTAGCAATGTTCAAACTTTTGGTCCAGAGTCAATAATCTAATTGGATGGGAAGAGAAACTGTCGTAATGACAGTACTTGGGAGAGGATGCGTGTCTAAGGCTGTCAGTCCCTTACCACGCTCCACGGGGTGAACGGAACCACCACCAGGCCCGCTGAAACACACAGCAGGAGGCCTACCTTCTCTGTCACTCAGAGTCCAGACATCAGCGTCAGCACGGTTAAGCTTCAGTTTACCCGGACGATCACTGTTTACAGTAAAGCTGGGTGAGACCAGTAGTTCTAGCATTTCCTTGTACCTGAAAGAAAACAAAGGGAAATATAATTTATTCATTAATTATGCATGCTTCCTAATGATTCCCATTTCTTTCCCTAAGAGTATAAATATTAAAGCTGATTACCTAAACTCAGCCATCTTATAAATTCTACATCATAAAAATTCACTGAACTTTTCATCAGAGGGAAATGAGGAATTGAAATGAAGTACTTGCTCCCCTCCGGAGGATACACCCACTTGATTAAAACTTTCCCCCCCTTCCTCCTGTATTTTGCCATTAGAAAAATTATATTTGGGCCTCTTTTAAATGTCACCTAAGTGAGCTGGAGTGAGCCAGGGAGACGTTCCAATAGAGGCAGAGAGAAACGGGTGGAGAGGCAGGATTGAATTTGGATTCCTAGACGCCAGAGGCGTGGAGAGAAGGTGGCGTTGACTGCAGTTAAGAGAGACTGAATGTGGTGTTACATGTCACTTGTGCAAACGGAGAAAGGCTCAAAAGATGTCATGGATATGTAAATACCCCTCTAGGCAGCAGAGCTCTCAGCCCAGCACTGTGGTCCCCATCAAGAAAGAATACACTAGCTCCTGAATTACACAGGATTTTGATAAATGCTATGGGGTAGGGGAGGGCAGAAAGAGAAAGACAAATACCATGTGATATCATGTCATCGGGGAGTAAGGTTTTTGATTAATGTGCACAACGTCAAACACAGCAATTTTCAAAGGACTAAACTACAACCAATAACATGTGACACTGATTCAAGTGGTCCTCAAAGAAAGGCTAAGGTAGTCACTGCACATTAGTATCCAAGGTCATCCTTGGCAGGATCCATTATTACTGTGTTAATAGAACACAGTGTACCAACTGATGGCAACATGGTTATAAACACACATTCCATCCTGAAAAGATTCTGGATTCAAATTCCACTTCACTACTTGGTACTTTGAACAGGTTAACCAAACTGCTTTAAGTCAAAAGTTTTCTCATTTGAACAATGGGGATTAACAGTATCTCCATTAAGGTCATGGTGAAGATGCAAAGAGATGAGATATAAATAAAGGACCTACCAGGCAGCAACCTAAATGCCCATTCACTACCACAAGAATGAGGAATACAGGTAGAAAGGGCTCACAATGGAATACAATACAGCAATGAAAAAGATTGCCCTGGAGTGCCATGAACAGATTGCCAAACAAAGCAATGGGCGATGAGACAGAAGGGTACCTAACGTATGATACCATTTCTATGAAGTTCAAAGATATACAAATCAATATTACACACTGTTCAGGGATAGATAACAACAACAACAACAAAAGATAATAATATGCATAGGAATGATAGACACCTGTTTCAGGAGAATGCATAGCTAGCGGTCATCAGGGGATGCAATTTAGAAAGAGGTACCCTGGGGCTTCAACTGTGTTTGCAGCAATGTAGTTCAGAGGTTGACACAAACTCTGATCCATCCAAATCCAGCTATCATCTGTTTTTGTGAGACCCATAAACTAAGAATGGCTTTCATATTTTTAAATGATTGAAAATAATCCTAAGAAGGATAGCATTTCATGACCTGTGAAAATTATGTGAAATTCAAATTTCAGTGTCCATTAGTAAAGTCTTCTTGGAGCACAGCCCTGCTTGGCAGGTTACTGTACCCTTCACGGCTACTTTTATGCTGCAATTTCTGTGTAGAGCAGTTGCCATAGAGACCCAGAAAGCTGAAAATATTTCATATCTGGCAGTAAAAGTTTGCCACCCCCTGTTTTAGTCTATAAGTAAGTGGTGGAGGGCAGGAGGGAAAGGGGGCAACAGAGGATGAGGCGTTGCATGGCATCACCGACTCAATGGACATGAGTTTGAGCAAGCTCCAGGAGACAGTGAAGGACAGGGAAGCCTGGCATGCTGCAGTCCACAGGGTCGTAAAGAGTCGGACATGACTTAGCGACTGAACAAGTGGTGGCTTAGTCGCTATGTCATGTCTGACTCTTGTGACCCCATGGACTATAGCCCGTCAGGCTCCTCCATCTGTGGGATTTCCCAGGGGATCTTCTCCACCCAGGTATGGAACCAGCATCTTCTGCATTGCAGGCGGATTCTTTACTGACTGAGCCACCGGGAAAGCTCTCATGGGTTACTCTATATCTCTGCATGCCCAAAATACTTCATAATTTTTAACAAAGAAAGAAAACACTTATCCCAGGACTTGCATATAGGAAAGACTTTATATATGTTTTTTAATCAGAAAAGAAAATTCCACACAAACTAGCTCCTAGTGTTTATGTCTTTCTGTGAGCTGATAAACATTTGGGTCCTAAGTATTCCTGTGTCTACATGGGTCCTGAGATCCGGTTTTCTTGTTCCTCAAGTGCCACAAGGCACTTCAGAAAGAGGCCTCCGTGTCTCTTTGATATATCAAGACATATTTTGTGGAGTGCGGCAAACAGCAGACACTGAACTTATTGTCTGAGTGTAGGTGTCAGAAATTTGCATTTTATCCAAACTCATTCCCTTCATTCTTTTGGATATATGCAAATAATTAAAGGTTAAAAAATAAACAATGTTGTAAAAAATTGCATTGGTCTCTAAACATCCAAATGCTACGTGTGGGTGTAAGTGTTAGTCGCCCAGTCGTGCCCGACTCTCTGAGACCCCATGGACTGCAGCCCACCAGGTCCTTCTGTCCATGAGATTCTCTGGGCGACAGTACTGGAGCAGTTGCCATTTCCTTCTCTAGAGTATCTTCCTGACCCAGGGATCGAACCCAGGTTTCCTGCACTGCAGGCAGATTCTTTACCGACTGAGCTACAAGGGAAGCCCCATGTGTGGGTATGAAAAGCAGCAAATTGTTAGCTAAATGACCAAATCCAGTGAAAAACATAAGGAATTATTTTTACTCCTTCTTAGGGTTTAAAAATATTTGAAGTAGTTGCCAATATTCAAAAATGAGGTGATTTCATGTAAGAATCTAGAGTTTCAGCTTCTCTTGAAGAATTAGAGGAATACTGACCGTTCTTGTATTGCAACTATCAGCTGGCTGCCCAGTTTGGTCAAGGCATATGAGCTCATTTGCCATAGTCCCCACCACTCCCTAGTGTCTTGTATTTGACCCCCACCCCCACCCCCGGCTTTTTCCATCTCCTTTCCCCGCGGTCTTTCCAGGCTTTTGTTTGAGCTCCATGGATTATGTGCCATCAGACAAGCCTGATGAGGATAGAAACAGCAATGTGACACTTCTGGCCTCAGTCTCATAGCTTATGATTTTTTTACTGAGTATCACTGTCACCCTCAAGAGGAATCAGCACATCTAAACAGCATTTATTGACCTTATAGCACAGCAAGAAGGTGTCATGAGTTCTAACTCCGGGATGGAGTATCACTATTAAAACTTTGGTGTCTTCACCTTAGACTCTTGCCTAAGGTCCATGAAGGCCAGCTCAATGTGGAAACCACCCCTATTATCCCCACAGCATCTGATACAGAATCTTGTTCATTCTGTCATCTGATTAACATCTGTCGAAGGATGAGAAGAAGGAGGAGACGGAGGAAGACAGGAACTTGGAGGGAGAGGAGAGAGGAAATCTGTAATTGGAGCAATTAGTTCTTTTAAAAACTCCCGTTAATTTTTGTTTTCCTCCTCACCCTAGAGAATGCTCCTAATGTATTAAATACGTAATTATGTCTCCTTGTAAATGATGCTATATTGTTTTATGTGACATATGTGGGGTTTTTTGGTCTGTTTTTGGCCGTGCCAGGCACATGTGGGATTTTAGTTCCCTGACCAGGTATTGAGCCTGTGCCCCTGCATTAGGAGCATGGAGTCGTTTTAACCACTGGTCCGCCAGGGAAGTCCTGTGACATGTGTTTTAATTTATATGAATAGGATTACGCATGAGACCTCATTTGGTTTATCAGGATTTTTTTTTGTCTGCACTATGATTTTATAATATATATATATTATTAGATGGTTATTTAGCTTGTAGCTAGAATTCCATACTGCATACCCACTTTATTGTATTTATTCATTGCTCTAGTGATAGACATATAGGATGCCTTCATCTCTCAGCTACTATAAACAATGTTGCAACAAACATATTCATTAAATATATATATACACACACACACATACACACACATGTATATGTAATGTGGTGTAGTTACACACACATACATATTCTTAAAACATATAAATATTTGAGGAGGATTCCTGCCTTACTGGGTATACATGAAATGAACCTGACCCAAGTACTAGCAGATTTTTCTTCATAAATCCTGGCTTAATCTAGATTTTTACCTTAAGTACACGTGCGCTCTAATTTCATAAAATCTTGCTAACACTTGGCATTGTCAAGCTTTCTAATGGCTGCCAAACTGCTGAGTGGAAAGCAATTATCTCATACTGGTTTTAATTTTCATTTCTATGATTACTAGAGAGTTAGAACATATATTCACATAATTGTGGGCCACATGAGCTTCTAGGAACTATCTATTCATACCATTTATCCTTGCCCATCCTTCAACTGGGTTTTCTTTTCTCCCCCTTTTTGTTGATTTCCTGGAGTGCCTTGTAGAGTCTAGGTATTACTCCATTGTTGGTTTTGTTTTTTTCTTTTTGATGACAAAGCAAAAGGAGTACGTCAAGGCTGTATATTGTCAGCCTGCTTATTTAACTTCTATGCAGAGTACATCATGTGAAACGCCAGGCTGGATAAATCACAAGCTGGAATCAAGATTGCCAGAAGAATATGAATAATCTCAGATATGTAGATGACAGAACCCTAAAGGCAGAAAGCGAAGAGCCTCTTGATGAAGGTGAAAGAGGAGAATGAAAAACTGGCTTTAAAACTCAACATTTGAAGAACTAAGATCATGGCATCTGGACCCATCACTTCATGGCAAATATGGAATGGCAAAAATGGAAACAGTGACAGACTTTATTTTCTTGGGCTCCAAAATCACTGTAGATGGTGACTGCAGCCATGAAATTAAAAGATGCTTGCTCCTTGGAAGAAAA